ACTCTTTGGGCCTGGCCATCCAGCCAGTTTTTTTACCCAGCAAAGAGTATGCCTGTCCAAGCCATGTGCAGCCAGTTTCTCCAGGAGAATGCTGTGGGAAATGGTGCCAAAGGCTTTACTAAAATCCAGGTAGACAACATCCACAGCCTTTCCCTCATCCACTAGGTGGATCACCTTGTCATGGAAGGCGATTGGGTTAGTCAAGCAGGACCAACTTTTCCTAAACCTGTGCTGACTGGGCCTGATCCCCTGGTTCTCCTGTACGTGCTGTGTGATGGCACTCAGGATGATCTGCTCCGTAACCTTTCCCGGCACCAAGGTCAGGCTGACAGGCCTGTAGTTCCCCGGATCCTCCTTCTGGCCCTTCTTGTAGATGGGCGGCACATTTGCTAACCTCCAGTCAACTGGGACCTCCTGGGTTAGCCAGGACTGCTGATAAATGGTGGAAAGTGGCTTGGTGAGCACTTCTGCCAGCTCCCTCAGTAACCTTGGGCGGATCCCATCCGGCCCCATAGACCTGTGTATGTCTACATGGTGTAGCAGGTCGCTAACCATTTCCCCTTGGATTATGGGGGCTTCATCATGCTCCCCATCCCTGTCTTCCAGCTCAGGGGGCTGGGTACCCGGAAAACAACCAGTCTGACTATTAAAGACTGAGGCAAAGAAGGCATTAAGTACCTCAGCCTTGTCCTGTCACTATGTTTCCGCCTGCATCCAATAAAGGATGGAGATTCTCCTTAGCCCTCCTTTTGTTGCTAATGTATTTGTAGAAACTTTTTTTATTATTGTCTTTTACAGCAGTAGCCAGATTAAGTTGCAGTTGGGCTTGAAAGAAAAGTTTGTTAAAACTTTATTTCTAGAAATGTTTAGCTTTTATTAATGCAGATTTTTCTTAATATAAAATCAGATCTTAATTCTGAAAGATTTTCTTCACAGTCCAGTTAATTTCATCCCCACCCCTCCAAGAATACATATCCCAGCTCATATGCTTCTCCTTGAAGCATTTCAGTGATGTCATAGTATCACAGAATAATTTAAATTGTAAGGGACCTTTGGATGTCATCTGGTCCAAGCCTCTACTTACATATGTATTGCTTTGTCAAACAAATCAAATAATGCATATGAAGATACAGTCTTCAGTCTCTTCTCTTCCTTCTCCATAATAGTTGTTATTTTATAGTAGTTATTTTTCAGTAAGCTAGTAATAAATGTGAAGAATAGGAAAAAAATTACTACCACTCTTTGCTATGTAATCTGTATTAGAATTCATCAGTATGCAGGTGGGTCACTTCTTGACCCACAGCCTATTAGTGTTTGAAATAGAACCAGTCTTATTTCATAACCCATAAAGGGAAGAAATGAAACTATTAAATTTTATCCTTTCTGCCATTGTACAGATAGGTTTGATTATTAAATTTAACTGGTACTTGTATCTGGTCAAGCAACTTCTCCTGTTACAGGAAATTGTCGGGTTGCTGACATTTTAAATGAATCAAACATTATACCCTACTGTTATAATCATTCTGAAACTTTTAAGGATTTTTATTTTTGGCTTGGATTTTAAAGAAACCTGAAAAGTTGAAGCATATAAATCCCATTAAATTTTAATGAAACTTAGACATCTAGCTCCCAGAAGAACCTTTGAAATCCTGGCCTGTTTGTCTTTTCTTTTCTCCCTTTTTTTTTTTTTAGCATCAACAAAGCCACCAAAGTAAACTTGCTGCTATAGGGTACTGTTTTATGAGTGGAAAATAAGAACTGAAATATACTGCTAAATATTTTTAGGGTTTTAAGTGTCTTGTCACTCATCCAATTCAACCTGAAAAGGCTTAACTCTCAGCATGCAAGTAATCCCATTGAACTGGAACTGGAATGCATTTTCTCATTTCTTTAAAACTGCATAAATCTTGGCAAGATGAGTATTCACAGTATTTACACTACATCTTGGAAATACTTACTAGTTCTGATTGAAATATGTATTTAAAAGTACAAGGAATACCTTTGTCATAGGACTTTATCAAAACTTCTGTATTGAAATACAATAGAGTGGCATTATTTAATGTAAAATGATAAATAAAATAATAAAGAAATCTGTGATTGCTTAACTCACAATGTTCTTTCTTGTTCCTCCAAGCATTGCATGAGCAGAGCAGGCAGTAGGTACTGTCTTAGTAGATTTAGTAGATGGAGGACTCTATCTTAGGCACATTATCTTGTGACAGTTCAAAGTCTGTAACACGA